CCTTGCAAACGGGCAATTTAATCTAATCCCTGTAATTTAACTTGGGCAGAAATGGACAGAAGTAACAGCCAATCATAATTCCACTACTTCATTTGAGGTAGGTTTAATTAACAGATTCCTCTCTAAGTAATTTTGTTTTGTTTTGTTTTTGAGACAGGATCTGTCTCTGTTACCCAAGCTGGAGTACAGTGCCGTGATCATAGGTCACTGTAGCCTTGATCCCCTGGGTTTAAGCAATCCTCCTGCCTAGGCCTCCTGAGTAGCTGGGACAACAGGCACGCACCACCATGCCTGGCTAATTTTTTTTAATTTTTAGTATAGACAAGGTGTCACTATGTTGCCCAGCCTGGTCTCTAGAGCTCAAGCAATCCTCCCGCCTTGGTCTCCCAAAGTGCTGGGATTACAGGCATGAGTCAATACTCCTGGCCTCTAGTAAATATTCAAATGGTGAGAAAACATAAGATGTTAGGGTCATTAGGAGGTTTATGTGAACAGTAAACAGTGTGTGGATAGTTACGTTTTCGTCATCATCATCATTGTCATTTTTCTAGGGAAGAATTACAAGTATCTTTGTGTGATTTGCTTAAAGACCACAGAGGAAAAAATAGTTTTCCAATTCTGTTTTTCCCCAGTGAGCATTATTATCTCTATGTTGGGACTTAAGGGCTTTAAGCTCTTAAAGGAGGATTTAGCCAGGGTTATCCCAGAAGTCACTGCCTGAAGTCCTCAGGAACTCTGTCACCACCAGCCTCGCCGTCACAAGACATGGAAAGCAGGATATCATTCCTAGAAAGGCAGTCAGGGGACCCTTGGTGCATGACCTCCATGAATAGGCATGGCGGCCACCGGCCTCATGACATTTGGCAGGTGACGAAGCCACACCAGTGTCAGGGTCACTGAGCCACAGCGGGTTTATGATCTCCCATTCCCATGACTGAGGTTTCTTTTAAATTTTGTTTGTAATATGTAGCAGTGTATTCCTACAGGGTAGGCCCTTGAATATGAAATGTGACACTCAGAATCAGATAAAATCTCTATTGTTAATTACAGTTTCTGATTAATATAGAGGTTCCGAGCACCCATCCAGCACTCTGCAGCCAACGTGCTTGCTGTGAACTGATCTCATTTCACATTCATTTCTGCACATCCCAGCGCCCCCTCAGCGCTGCTCAGCCACCATGCTCCAGTCCCCAGCCCCCCCACTCTCCTAGTTCACGGCCACACCTACCTCCTCTGTCCCCCCACTCAATTTCCGTATCTCGGGGAAATTGGCAGCCATGGGAAGAGACCTACAAGCTCCCACCTCCATATCCACCCACCCTGGCATCCAAACCTTTACATTCTGTCTGCCTTCTTGTTGCAATAGATGAAAAATGTGTGCTTCCTCTTAGGCCACAGCCTCCCTCATGCACTAAATCTCCTACCCTCTCACCTACTCAAAGCCCTTTCATGAGAGCAGTTCGCCACACGCTTTTCTGTATAATCAACTTTTCTCTCTACCGGATTACTTTGATCAGCTTTAAAACGCGATCATTCCTCCCATCTCAGAAACAAAAAACGAAGAATCCTGAAAATTAATTTTTAAGATTTTGCTTAAAAACACATAAAATTTGCCATTATTTCTAAAATGTGCCATGATTGAGTGTATCATAAAACTCAAGTGTTAAGTATATTCACATTGTTGTGCAATCAGTCTCCAGAACATTTTCGTCTTGCAAAATTAAAACTCTCTATCCACTAATCAGTAACTCCCCATTCCCCGCTTCCCCCAGCCCCTGGCAACCACTGTTCTACTTTCTGTCTTTATGAATTCGACTTTTGGCTATTGTAAATAGTGTCGCCATGAACGTGAATGTGAAATACCTCTTTTAGACTCTGTTTTCAATTTCGGGGGGGTATATACTCAGCAATGGAATGTTATTTGGTAATTTAATTATTTGGTAATTTAATGACCATTTGGTCACATGGTAATTTTATTTTTAATTTTTGGAAAAAAATGCCATCCATACTCTTTTCCACAGCGGCAACACCATCTGACATTTCCATGAACAGTGCACAAGGGTTCCAGTTTCTCCACCTCTTTGCCAACATTTGCTGTTTTCTGGGGAGTTTTCATTTTGTTATTTTTTTTCTTTCATATTTTTTTATAGTCGCTATCTTAGTAGCTACTAGCAAGGTGGAATCTCATTGTGGGGCAAAAAAGTCTTTCAATCCTGCTTTGCCCCTTTGCTATGCCTAGTTCCCTGCTCCCTTTTTCGACAAAAGTACAACCACTCAATTGCATTTCCCATGCTCTTTGCTTCTTTATTTTCACCATTGACTTTTACCATGTTCTAATATACTGTATGATATATTTATTTATTCATTTGTTGTCTTCCCGCCCCCACCAGCCATTGGAATATCAGTTCCATGAGGGCAAAGATTTATCCTTATTCCAGTTCAACCCACTGTGCCACCACCTTTCTTATTGATAAACTGCTAAATCTAATGGTCACTCCTAGTCTTTCTTGTCTAATCAGAGCAGTTAGCCTGGTTAACCACGCTCTCCTCCTTGAAAGACTTTCTCCATTAACTCCCACACTGCCGCCCTCTCCCAGTTTCCTTCCTACCCCATTGGGTGTTCTTTTCTGGTTTCTTTTGCTTGTTCCTTCCTCATTTCTCCAGTCTCTTTGTGTTGAAATCTTGCGGGGCTCAGTGTTTGGATCCTTCTCCATCTACACTCACTTCTCTGATGATCTTTTCCATTATTATGGTCTGAGATGCCAACTCTATATTGATGATGCCTAAACGTAGATCTTCATTAAGGCTCTCCCCCAGAACTCTGTATTCTACTAGATGCAACCGCCTAGTAACCTCTCCACTTGGACGTCTGGTAAGAATCTTAAACTCGGCATACCAAAAACTCACCCCTGATCTTCTCTAGCCCCCTCCTCTGTATCCTCCTTCCCTTCAAAACAAAAAACAGCAACAAAAAAGCTTTACTTCACCTAGACCCCTCCTGGTGCCAATGCTTGAAGTCATCTTTGACGTCCTTCTTTCTCTCATATACCACATTCAATATGTTGGTAAATTCTGTTGGTTCCATCTTCAAAACGTGTCCAGAATCTAACCACTTCTCATCACCGCCACTGCTACCACCACGATCCAACCTGCAGTCATCTCTCAGCTATTCTGCGTTACTGGTCCTCCCACTTTTGCTTATTTCAGTCCCTTCTCAAGACCACAGTCAGAAAGATTGTTATAATAATGTTAGTTTAGATCCTATTGTTTCCCTGCTCAAAAGAGCTCAAGAGTAATAGCTAAAAGCCTGACAGTGTCCTGCAAAGCCCTGCCAACCTGGCGTTATTGCCTCTCCAATCTTACTCTGGCCCCCTACAGTTGCACAAACCATCCAGGCATACTCCTGCTTCAAGACCGTGGGACTTGATATTGACATTGCCTGGAATAGTCTTCCCTTAGACACTGTATGACTTGCTCCCTTAACCTCCTTCAAATCTCATGTGCAGTTTTACCCAAGAAGTGCCTCAACCACCTTATTTAAAAATTTCAACCCAAAGTACAACTCAATTGAACTTCTCATGCTCCTTCCCTCCTTACTTTCATCATCAGCTTTTACTACCAACTAATCTACTGTATGATTTACCCGTTTATTCTGTTTATTGTCTGTCTCCCCCCCAACAGAGCATCAGTTCCATGAGGCCAAAGATTTTTGTACGCTTTGCTCTGGTTGTTTCCCTAGCAGCTGGAAGAGTGTTGGGCATGAAATCGGCTCTCAGTATATGTTTGCGGAATGAATAAATGAGTGAATATAGAATGACTGTGGAGCCGGCAGTTCGAATATTATTTCTCCGTGACTGTCATTATTATTATATCCTAAAAATCCAGGAAGAAAGTGAGGCTATAGATGAGGACAGCACACATGTTAACATAGGACACACAACCTTGCTGCTCAGAGTGTGGTCTGTGGACCAGAAGCATCGGTGGCACCTGGGAGCTCATTAGAAATGCAGAACTTCTGAATCAGAATCCGCATTTTAATGAGAACTTCTAGAAGGTTGACTGCAAAAATTGCAAAGCTTTGGTGTCGGGCAAGTGTCCCCAACCTTAACTGTGTATTAGAATCTCAGTATCTTAAAAAACTCCTGATGTGCGAGTTTCACTTCCAGAGACTGACTTAATTGGTCTTGGAGTGTGGTCCAGCTATAGGTCAGAGGTGAAGAGGGGGATGTGACTGACTTATTTCATTATTTTTGGGTAGAGAGCTAAGATTAAAAGCTTGTCTCTGTATTAGTCTTGATATAAAGATTAATGTGTTGACATGGATATCAACAAGTCATCAACTATTTGTCTTCCCCTTACTCCAAAAGAGCAAATTTCAGCTCTTCTTTTGTGGTTTCAAGTGAGATCATCAAGGTGGCCGCTGCTCACTATCAGAAAATGCGCTTGTGTGTGTCCTGGCCAGTTTTGTCAATCTGCTGCAGGAAATCCACACTGAGCAGTACGCCAGCCTCTTGGAGGAATGGCTCCTGCTCTCTTTTCCAGCAGGATCCAGTGATTTGTGTAAGCAGAGAGCTTGGGAGAGAGTGAAGAGAGCTTCAGGGTTGGTCTCTGGGTGGATACTAGGAAAGCCCTATCCACGGGATTCTAGGCAGCACAGGGTGCAGGCTGAAAACTCTCTCTCCTACCCTGCATTCTGCACTCAAAGTGTTCATGGATGCCAACTCTTCGCACCTCTGTGAGCTCCTGCACTCACTGCCTGGCACTGTCATTTCCTGGTGGTTCCTCTGTAAGGGTTGGGTGAGAGGTGATCTCTGAGTGTGACCCCAAATATGAATCCTGAGCATGAACTTGAACCTGCAGCTCAGGCCCTGAAGCTGCGGGGTGGAAATACATGGAAACATGATAGAGGAGCAACAGTTAACTGCCGTCTAGGACAGATTCTGTGAGGGTGTAGAGAGCATTGCCAGATTCTCACTGACCAAATGGGCTCTCTCTTCCAGATCAAGTCTCGGGTTCTCATGACTCCCTTAGCCCTCTCACCTCCGCGGAGTACCCCAGAGCCCGACCTCAGCTCCATCCCTCAGGATGCAGCCACTGTCCCCAGCTTGGCGGCCCCACAGGCTCTCACAGGTAGGTCAGCAGAATAAACTTCAAGGCTGTGATGGTCCGCAGAAAGCAGGGCAGCCACCATCTAATTGCTACTTTGTGGATTAAAGAGTTGTTGCTGAGATGGCTCAAATGAGGGATTTGGTGTGCTAGCCAGGCAGCAGACAGGATGACCAGAGTCTCTGAGTGCACCAGTTCACATGTCCCACAGCTTGGATTATTTAAAACTTGGTTTCAGTGCATCTGGGTTTAGGTGGTTGCTTTGGTTGGAGGGCGGTGGACGGCAGGGGGACACAGGGTGGTCAGATGTTTCTTTTCAGAGCCAGGTTTCTGGTGCACTGGTCCAAGCCTGCTCACCTTAAACAGGGCTCTTGTTCCTGTGTTTGCCCTTCCAGATACCATTCCCCCCCAGTTCAACCCACTACCCTCCAACCCAGTCAGGGGAGCAGGCATCCCAATCTCTGTCTCTGGTGGGGCATCCAGCAACTGACAGTTTGATCATAATAGTAACGACAATCTGATGGTGTCACACACACACGCATACAATCCCCCTATGTCACAACCCCAGCCCCTCTCCCATCCCATTTAAATCCCTTCAGTCCCTCCCATTGCTTTTAGATGACGCCCAGACTTGTGAGTCTGGCTGACAAGGCCCTGCAGGCTCCACCCTGTAGTTCACCCCATTGCTCTTCTCTCAGTCCCCAGGACTGGCCACAGGATCTTAGCACATTCTTCCCCTCCATCTGGAGTGATCGTCCCTTCCGGCCACCCGATTCCTCACTTACATCTCAGATCAGGCATATGCCTCTCCAGAAAGTCCTCACAAACTTTCCTGCCAGCATCCCCAGATGGGCTCTCCTAGCCCCTCCCCATGTTTCTCACAGCCACAGTCGCACATGATCTCACATCAGCTCATGGGATTATCTGAACAGGCCTCTTCCCCCACCAAGCCATAAGCTCTGTGAAGGCAGGGACTGCTTCATTTTGTTGAAGCTTTCTCTGCAGGGCGTAGCATAGTGCCTGCATGAAGGTCTCTTATTAATTGGATTTTTCTTATCACCTGGGATGAGTAGAAGAGAAGGTCACCTGGTAGAGTGAAAAGAGCACGTGTCATCCAAAAGACTTGATCCAAATTCCTGATGCATCACTGGCTACAGTCTTGGAGCAATCATCTAACTTCTTTAAGCCTCAGTTTCTTCATTAGTAAAGCAGTAGTAATACCACCCAACTCACATGCTTGTCTTGACTACAGTGGGTGCTCAAAAAAAAAAAGTATTTCTTCACCTTTGCTGTTACTACTTAGCCTTTCTGAAATGCTGTCGGTCTCCTCTTAACGTCCTTCTTCAACACTCCTTTGCACCAGTGGCCTCTAAGGTAAGATGCTTATCGGGGGGATGATGGGGAGTGAGGGGGCAGATACACAAGGGGGGCATTAACGCGTGGAAGAAAATATAATGCCTTCTATTCCCATTCATTTTAGCTCATCCTTTTACAGTTTCTATTTCTTGGATCTGTTTCACTATGTAAACAACGCTTATTTGATAATGCTGTGCCACGTCATTGAAAGTGAAGGAAATAACTTTTGTGTCTTATTTCCAAGTTTTGGATAGTTTTTCTCAAGAGGTCGGCCAGGGTACTCTTCACTCATTAAGGAGTCGGGCTTGATGTCTGGGGCAATGAGGAATCTTAAAGCAAACAGCCTGAAGACAGGCTGACCAGTTCGGCAACTGTTACCAAATTACAGGTGGCCTAGGTAGATGGGGGATGGAAATGATGTCATTTTCATAGAAGAGAATGAAGTCGAATTTATATAAACTAGGTCTGAATCCCTCACCCAACTGACCAAGCTAATCACACTGATCATATCTAACACTTTGGGCAGCCTTCTCTGTACAAAATCTTTCTGCTAAAAAAGGATTTAGATTTCTTTTTCTTTTTAATTGCAAAATTCATAAAGATTCCACTGTGATTAACTGAAATCTATCATATGTGAAAACCAATTTTGTAGACATTCTAACATTTTTATGATATGATTTATATAATATTATATATAAACATATCTATAAATATGATTTATATAATATATATATAAACATCTATAAATATGATTTATATAATATATATAAACATTAAAATGTTCATTAGACATTTTCTTGTAAAAAATTTACACAATACAGTAATACAGTTAAGAATGTATATAATCTATAAAAAAACATGTTTTGAGACATGTGCCCCCTCCTCTGAATTTTTTCTCAATGGGGTCTATCACCTTAAAGGTGTGGAGATCATTGACTGGGTTCACCTAAATTAAAAATCAAATGTTTATTTTCTCTGAGATTGTGAATAGCACTACTGTAAAGCTTTGCTGAATACAGCCTCTGGAGTGATCAGTGCCATCTTGATTTCTTTGTTCATAAATGGTTGACAAAGAAATGGCAAACACTGTCTATAGCTTGACAGCTCCTTTGGAAGAGGAAGAGGAGCTTTTGTATGTGTACTTTCACAGCATGGAAATACCTTTATGTACACAGTCCATGTGGGCCACTATAATCGTCTTTAATTCAGATTTCAGTAGATCAGAGTGGACCCACCTGTCCATCTATTCCCAGCAAAGAAGGCTCCGAGGTCAGGCCCTGGTACTTGAGGTGTCTGACTCTTTTGCCTCTTTTATTTCTTAAGTTGGGAAGAATCCACCCCACTTTTGCCCTTTCCAGCTTTCCCAAGGCCAGGGCCAAAGGCGCATGGCTGAGGCATCCCCTGTGTACGCAGAAGCCACCAGTTGGCCTGATGCGCGCCCGATGCAAAGGGCTTTGTGGTCTCTGTCTCCACAGTCTGCCTCTACATCAACAAGCAGGCCAATGCGGGGCCCTACCTGGAGAGGAAGAAGGTGCAGCAGCTCCCGGAGCACTTCGGGCCGGAGCGGCCGTCGGCGGTGCTGCAGCAGGCCGTCCAAGCCTGCATCGACTGCGCCCACCAGCAGAAGCTGGTCTTCTCCCTGGTCAAGCAGGGCTATGGTGGCGAGATGGTGTCAGGTAAGGCCTGGGGCAGGTTGCATGAGAAGGCCATGGGTGTCTCTCTGTAGAGAAAGCAGCCATACTCAGGCCTGGAGACAGTGGGTGTGGCCAGGGTCTGTCCTGCATCTGCTGGACTCCCGGGGCCTTTATGAGCCTGTGAGCTAAAAGCCTCTCTCAGGGCTCAGGGAGCCTGCGATCCACGCCCGGGTACAAAGACTGGATTTCTGATACTGCTCTTGACTTTTCTCTTTCTCCCACTTCCCACTTCTAACCCATGAGTTCTTTTTGCTCCACTTCAAAATATATCCAGAATCCAACCACCTTGCACCACCCACAGCAACCACTCTGGTTCTTTAAAAATCTAAGTCAGATCATGCTCCTCCTCCGCCCCAAACCCTCCAATGCCTCCCATATCACTCCAAATAAAAGCCCAGGTCCTTACAAAATCCCACAGGCCCTATGTGACTGGCTACCTCTTGAGTCTCCTCGTTACTTCTCTCTTGTTCTCCACTCTGTTCTGGCTGAGATCACCTCATGGATGTCCTTTAGGTTTCTACTCACATGCCACTGCATTAAAGAATCCTTTTCTGACCCCTTGTCTAATATGTCAGCTCTTGTCATTCTCCATTTATTATTTATCTTGAGACAGGGTACAGTGCAGTGGCACGATCACGGCTCACTGCAGCCTCGATCTTCCAGACTCAGCCCCAACAAGTGGCTGGGACTACAGGCACATGCCACCACGCCTAGCTGTTTTTTAACAATTTTTTGTAGAGCTGAAGCTCTCACTATGTTACCCAGGCTGGTCTCAAACTCCTGAGCTTATGCGGTCCACCTGCTTCCCAAGTGGTGGGATTACAAGAGTAAGCCTCTCCATTGTTCCTTACTCTGCTCCATTTCTTTTTCATAGCACTTACCACCATGCAGCGCAGTGGGGAAACATCATGGATTCAACCCCATCTCCGGGGATGTTTTGTTATTCAGGACCCATCTCCGGGGATGTTTGGTTATACGGGATCCTTCAGAGTCTAAGAAATCCTTTCTTCCATGGTCACAGCCCTCCACCAGTTTGATGCCCTGATTTGATGTGATAGAAAGGGCACTTCACCTCTGTGGTCCCAAAGAACCCATAATCCTAGTCTAATCATAGGAAAACCCGCCAAATCCAAACGGAGAGACGTTTTACAAAACACCTGACCAGTACTCTTCAAAGCTGTTAGAGTGATGAAAAACAAGGCAAGACTGAGAAACGGTCAAAGACCAAGGAGATGAAAGAGATGTGGCAGCTAATGCAATGTGGTATCCTAGATGTGATCCTGACCAGGAACAGTACACTGTGAACCAGCAGGTGAAATCCAGATACCCTCGCCAGGGCCGGCTGACTTGTGGTTTTCTGCAGTGCCCAGCTCTGAGCTGCCATCTCTCTGGTTTTACAGTCTCAGCTTCCTTTGATGGCAAACAGCACCTGCGGAGCCTGCCCGTGGTGAACAGCGCTGGCTATGTCCTCCGCTTCCTCACCAAGCTGTGCCGAAGCCTCCTGTGCGACGACCTCTTCAGCCACCAGCCCTTCCCCAGGGGCTGCAGCGCCTCTGAGAAAGCCCAGGAGAAAGAGGAAGGGAAGATGGAGTCAGGTAGGCCTCGTCTGCTTCCCCCCTACCCCCGCCTGGAGGGGCGCCTCCCAATCCCAGGCATCTCTGCCCTTCCATTGCCAAGGGAGCATTGCAGCTCCTGGGAGTTCTGCCACCGGAGCCCCGTGGGCTGCCTGGGAAGCATCTGGAGCTGACTGGAACAAAGAGGTGCCTGGACAGTCCCCATCCCAGGCTGCAGAGGGAAATGCAGGCTCCAGCTATTAAGAGCTGACATTATAACTTTTATGTCCATGTTATTAGAATTTAGATGATGAGACCACATCACATCCACATCAGATATAACAAGTAAGTTCCTTCTCTCTCCTCTAATTGAAACGCTGGGCATTTGGGAACTCATCCCAAAGAAACTAGGGCTACAGAACTGATGATGTTCGTCCAGCCTGGGAGTCTCAGATGCCTACCCAGGGGAATTAAAGGTGCAACAAAGTGTCTATTATTGCAGGGATTTAACTAGGCCATATATTAAATACGTCTTCCAGCAAGGGTTAGTGTTCCTTTCTCATCACAAGATGGAAAGTGGTCCCGGGTTGAGCACCTCTTTGTACCATTAGCCACAGAGTAGCTTAGGATGAAAAAGTGGGCCTTGGTCAGGGCAGCAAGGCCACACGGGCATACACGACACAGCGTTATCTGCCCAAGGGGCTAGATGCCAACAGAAGATGCTCCTTCTCTGCTGAGCAGTCCTGAGTTATAGCTCTGCAAAGAGATGAAGGTGACTCTCAAGGGTGGGTAGAAACATTGTCTTTTTTTTTTTTCTCTCAACACGGGGTTGTTGATATATGAAAAGCACACAGGCAATACAACCAGAATCCAGTTATTATGTGAGTGTGCAAACATTTGGTGAACCCTCTTCTGTTCCATGCACTGTGTGAGACCCTGCCTTCAATAAGTCAAATCCGTGAGCTTAGGAAAGTTTTTGAGAAATAGAGTACTATTACAAATAAGAAAACACAGATATATCTGCAGGTATGTGCTGGCAGACAGGTTTAGCGCATTCAACAAAAGGATACTTATAAGAGAGGCTATTTCTCCAACTCAAGAGGACAGCAGGAAAGGATAAATTTAGATTCTCAGCATAGCCTTTCTTGAATACTATCAAAATCTTTCCTACAGTTTTGCTTTTATCTCTCTGAGTCCTGGGAAACAGGAAGAAATTTGGTCTCTACAAAGGAAGGTACCTAATGAAATACAGTTGGTGTGAGCAGATGCTATTTACTTTTATGTTTTTCTTGCTGTCTCTCTATATATGAGCTTAGAGATGTCTCATTCTCTCTGGACCCAGGTTTCCTATGGGTAAATGAGAGGTTGGAGTTGCGGATGTAGAACATTTTTCTGGTTCCAACAGTCTATGAACCTGGCCTCACCTGTAAGCCTTAGTTGACTCACAAACGTATTCTTAAGCCCTTATTTATCTTCTAGTGAGTGTTGCAATAAGAATAGCAGAATCGTGTGATTTCACTTCACAGATGCTCGTATCATTGTTACAGTGAACACACAATGACCCATGGGATATCATGATAAAGGAGCATAACCCATGTCTCCCATTGTCCTCTAAGTATATCCTGTGGGACTAGTTCTTCCCTGACTGGCTGAAATTCAGGACAAATATTGGCTTTCCTGGCTCCTCTCAGGTTACAAAATGTTCTCTAGTCAAAAATTGTTACATCCAGGTCAGGATGATAATTGAACTTTATTCTCAGTGAATCTATTATAGGGTTTTTTGCTTTGTTTTGTTTTGTTTTTTGAGATGGAGTTTTGCTCTTTTTGCCCAGGCTGGAGTGCAGTGGCGCAATCTCAGCTCCTTGCAACCTCTGCCTCCCAGGTACAAGTGATTCTCCTGTCTCAGGCTCCTGAGTAGCTGGGATTACAGGCATGTGCCACCACACCCAGCTAATTTTTTGTGTTTTTAGTAGAGACGGGGTTACACCATGTTAGCCAGGATGGTCTTGATCTCCTGACCTCATGATCCGCCTGCCTCGGCCTCCCTAGAGTGCTGGAATTACATATTATAGGTTTTTACACTGTGGTTGCCATGAGGCTTATGAAAAACATGCTACAGATACAAAAAGTTATTTTAAAGAAATGACAACTAGTTTTAGATCACACAGACATGAACAGAAACAAAGAAAAATGAAAAAAAAACCCTGCAGTTGAACTCCATCCCGCCTACATTTTGACTTTTAGTCGCTTTGATTTATATATTTTGATAATTACCTATCTCTTAAGAGATTGCTCTAGCTATTATTCCTTTTAGTAGATTTGTCTTTTGGGCTTCATACTAGGGTTATAAATGGATTATACACAGCAATTACCATGTTAGAGAATTCTGGAGTTGCTCATGTGCTTAATGGTACCAACAAGCTTTATACCCTTCTTTTTTTTTTTTTTTTTTTTTTTAGCATGTTAATGTTTTTTTCTTTCAGATTGAAAGATTTGCTTTAGCATTCCTTGTAAGATGCATATGGTGGTAGTGAATTCTCTCAGCCTTTTTTGTCTGGGAGAAACTTTATTTACCCTTTATATTTGAAGGATAACTGCTTGATACAGTAGTCTTGGATAGCAGGGTTTTTTTTTTTTTTCTTTCTTTCAGTACATTGAAAATGCTGCTCCATTATCTCCTGGACTATATAGTTTCCATTGAGAAGTCTGTTGCCAGATAAATTGGGGTTTCTTCAAATGTCACTTGCTTCTTTTTTGTTTGTGCTTTTAGATGCTCTCTTTGTTCTTGACCGTCGAGAGTTTGATGATTATAATATATGCCTTGGGATTAGTTTCATTGGGTAAAATCTGTTTGGTGTTTTCTGCCCTTCCTATATATGGATATTTAGATCCCTCTCATGTGTTGGAAAGTTTTCTGTTATTATGTCTTTGAATGAGCTCCCTACCCCTTATTCTTGCTTGACTCCCTCTTGAACACTAATAATTCTTAGATTTTGTCTTTTAAGAGAATTTTCTGTATCTTATAAGTGATCTTCATTGCTTCTCATCCTTTTTCTCTTTTGACTGTATTTCCAAATAGTCTATCTTTGAGCTCACTGATTATTTCCTCTGCTTGATCTACTTCACTATTGAGAGCCTGTAATAAATTGTTTTAGTTCAGCAAATGCATTTCTTAGTTTGAAGATTTGCTTTGATTTTTAAAATTATTTCAATCTCTTGTTAAATTCCAATGATATATTTGTGAATTGCTTTTCTGTGTTATCTTGGAGATCGGTGAGTTTTCTTAAAACTACTGTTTTGAATTCCTGGTCAGAGAGCTCACATATTACCATCTTATTAGGGTCAGTTTCTGGTCCCTTGCCTTGGCCACCTGGGGAGATTATGGTTCCCTGTTGGTGGTGGTTTTTTGTGGATATATGTCTATGTCTTTGCATTGAAGGAATATTTATTTCAATCTTCTCTGACTTGTTTGGCTTTTATTGGATATATTTGTCTATAGGTTTTTTATTGCTAGGTTACTGCCTTTTACTTTTTGGCTCTGTATGGCATCTTAAGCCCAGGTTTGCCTTAGATCTAGTGAAGGATTGAAGCACTGCTCTTCCTAAATGGGGGAGGTCCCACAAAGGTATATCCCAGCAGTGTGGGAAGGCCGGCTAGGGGGTTGTGCCCAGGGGATCTGTGACACAAACCTATAGTAGTATGGTATTACATAGCAGATACGCTGATTGGAAATCCCCCTTGGGTAAGTAACAAAGCAGAGTTTTCAGGTCCTGGGATGGTAGTTCCACCTCCCCGCTTGTCTCTGGCTGTACTCTCTGGAGTACCTCCCTTCAGGTACTCTCAATGCCTCCTATTAAGGCAAAGACAGAACTCTTGCCATGGAAACCAAGATGGTGTGAAAGCTGGTTGTCTACCTTAATTTCACTTAGAAACAGTGAATTGGGAGACATTTTTCTGCATGCTTAGTGCTAAGCAGATGGAGGGAGGGGCATGAATGTGGAAGTCAGATTCTCTTACCCTCTGCTCAGAGTTTTTTCTCTTCTCTGTGGCCCCAGGCACTGTCTCCTTTTCATATTTGAGTTCTAGAATATTTCTGGTTATAATCTCAGTGCTGTATATTTGTTTTTGATTTTCTGTGGTGAGGAGCGAAGACAGCTTGCTTCTATGCCACCAGCTTGGAACTTGAAGTCTGCCCCGGAACTTTCAGTTTCACTCAAACCCAGCTCAGGCTTGCTTCAGGCCAGCTGCCTGCAGTAATAAAGAAGGGCATGGCTGGCTTCTCCCCAGCCTCCCTGCTTGTGTTATTGCCTCCTCCCATAGCTAGCTAACCTTGATGGCGGAACCCTTCATGGTCAATGGGGGAAGGAGGAGACACAAGAGGCAGGGGAGTTTGTACGTGATGAATCCTGCTGTGAGTTGGCATCGTGCTCTCTGCTTCTAGCTGATGTTGAAAGATGATTCTTCATCCTGTGAGCTCTTCTGCGGGTTCTTTGGTGACCATCTCTCACCTGCACTTTCATTGGCATGGACAAACGCAACTCTTCCCTGGCTAGTCACTTGCAATTCTTTCTGTAGTCAAGACCTCTGGGGGTAAATCTCCAGCTTCTTTCAGCTGAAGCCCTCTCGTGCCTCCAGACCGTCCTGCGGAAAGGATCTAAGACGATCCTGCTGTAGGTCTATGTCTTTCGATGGCCCATATCTGGTCCTTGAGAAACACCCACACATCCTCTGACCAAACAAACTCTGGGTGTATTGGCTGCTCCCTGCAGGCACCTCTCCTTTTTTCTGCGAGCCAACAGCCACCTTTTAGAGCTTGTCTCTCAAGCTCCAGAGGACAGATCTCAAGCTATTCATGTGTTCATGCGGAAGCCACACACTGGATCATTTTCTTCATAATTTCTCTTCTAGCTTACCTGTTTCTCTGCCTCTACAATCTTGTTTGCAGGCTGAATGTGAGTAGTCATCTACTGGTACAAAACTGGCTTTCCACCATCTCTTTTTGCAAGCCCCATGTGGCGATCTCACACTTCACTGTGGTATGC